AATTTAATGAGAACTATTCCTTTGTTTTCTTTTGACACGTTATTACAGATTTTCACCCATAAACAATTTGAATAATTAAAAAAGAATTAACATGGAATTTTTTTTATCATGTTACATCTTCTTAGCAACGCCATAATCTCTATAAAAATACAGACAATTTAATGAGAACTATTCCTTTGTTTTCTTTTGACACGTTATTACTTTCACCCATAAACAATTTAATGAGAACTATTCCTTTGTTTTATCTAACCTTCCGAGTCCTTGTGGGATTGAACCTGAAAAAGTATTAGCACCAAGGAACACAAAATGTTGTAGGTTGCTGAGGTTTGCTAGTGATGAAGGAATAGAACCACTTAGTCGATTTAGGCTCAACTCAAGATCAGTGAGAGACTTCAAATTCCCAACTTCGATAGGAATGCGACCAGAGAGTTTATTATAGAACAAATAAAGGATTTTCAAAGATGTTAGATCACCCAATGATGAAGGAATTAAGCCAGATAGATGGTTTAAAGCGAGGCTTATGCCTTTAAGTGACACCATGGTTCCTATTTCCTGTGGAATGGAACCAGTTAGATTGTTTTTGGATATTTGCTATTTCACGTGGGATTACTCCACAAAAGTTATTCAATGAAATATTAAGATCAAGATGCGTAAGATTGTGTAGCAAAGAGAATGAAAACTGGTGGAGTGTACTTTTTAAGCCAGATGAACTGAGGCTCAACCTCTCAATCCTCCAATTAGCATTGCAAACCACTCCAAACCATGAAGTGCATGGAATTGATGCACTGATACCAACAGAATATGTAAATATTTTTGTATGTATCATGTACGAATCTATTGGTTTCGGTATTTGAGTCTATGTCTATTTTGACATGCATTGGAGAACAAACATTTTTGCATCAGGTCAAGTGTATGATCGATGACCTGCATCTTGTAATTTGACACTATTGGTATTTGTAACTTGAGATTGTGCTTCTGTATATATTGTTTAAAACTTTATTGAAATTTGTATTTGAGTAGAAAAATTATCATTTGTATTTGATATATTTTCCTATTTTTTATGTATGTGTAAACCACAAGTAAAATAACAGAGGCGTCTAAGGGGCTGTTTGGCAGGATCTGAATTTTTAAGATCTGAATTTTTAAGATCTGAATTTTTAAGAGGTCTGAATTTCTAAGAGGGTCTGAAATTTTAAGAGCTGAATGTTTAACATGCTGTTTGGTTGGGACCTCTGAATTGTTGTGTTGAATTATTAAAATGACCATTTTACCATTCTGTTTTATTTTTTATTAAATTCAACTGTTTATTTAAAAAATAACCTAATAAATTTTCTTAAATATGTATTAAAAAAATATAAACACCATATAAAATCCAAATTTAGCATAAATCAAAATTAAACACAAATCCAAATCAAACATAAATATTTTTAAATCCACAAAATCATACTAAAATCCAAATAAAATCCTACAAATTTTATTTCACCCCAATTGATTCGCAATTTGGTCACGCAAATTATCCATGTATTCATTTCCTTGTGAACCCCATTCCATATCGTGTACGCTTTCGCCATC